TATACCAGCCTCAATATTTAAAAATAAACCGAAGGTTAATTTCAATTTTTCATTTTCAGGTATTAAAATCAAGAATTGGGTTGAATAGTCTGGTTCTTAATTCTAGTGCCTGATATTGTTTCTAACCTAGGTGGAATCTATTGAATTAGCTCCGATTCCAATTCAGTTCGATACTCTTGTCCATCCTTAAAATTTTGAAGTATTTGTTATTGATTTGGATGAATTATAGCTTAATCTTGTGTTTATTTTATTTTTTAGATGAAATTCGATTATTGGAAGTAAAATTAAAAGAAAGGAATGAAAAACAAATGAAAATGGACAAAATCCAAAGTTTGGAAATCAAAGGACAAATATTTAATAATTAATTTGGACCATAAAATGGTGATTGAAGATCATTTAGGATCAATTGGATGCAATTAAAAGTCAAATGGGGTCAAATATAGTCAAAACATTCTCATAAATCAATTTTCAGCTGAATAAACTATGCCTTGAATTTTTAGTCTCATATTAAGATCCATTTTCCTCCATAGTAATAAATGCTCTAATTAGAAAGATTATACATTTAGAAGAATTGTAGTCCTCTGAATTAATTTTTCAAAGCACTTTGAATCATTCAAATCGGATATCAGAAAAGAAAATTATGATACAAATTATGATTCAACATGTGGCTGAAACACACATACAGCGCGCGTGCTCGATGCTTATACCTATGTGTGTGCAAGGTTATTTTTTGGGAACTTCGTGTAGTTTCCGTGCTTTGCTTCAAACTCTTCTTGGAAAAATCAATTTCAACATAATTTTGTCCCATATAAATAAAAACATCGACCACGAGGGATCTCTACCACCTCTTAAATCACTTTCATATTATAAAACACAAGTTGGAGAAGAGAACAAATCTAGTATGTGAATTGCATAAAAACAATCAAGTTCTTGAATTATCATTGCTCGGGGTTGATTATCAAGAACAAGAATTAGACTGCGACATCTCTTTCTTGTTCTTATTCAGGTGAAATTCTTCCATTTTTCTTGTTGTTTTATCTTTTGAAATATGTTAAGCTAAATTCCTTTATGTTTAATGAATTTGACAACTTCAAATAAAAGAAATCGAATTGGATGAACTAGTGGTTTGATTTCATGCTTAAGAGATACAAAATGATTTTATTTTTAAGATACCCATCTGTAATCAACTGGTTCGATTCTTCTCGAAATCAGACTGAATTATATCACGTTTCAATACCTAACTAGAGGAATAGATGCAAAATGATTGCATTTACCCAATGTTGAGTAGGAGGAAAATAATTATTATTGACGTTAGTAATTAAACCTTACCTGACGAATAGTAACTCCACATTACCAATTTGTTTAGTTACGTATCTGCCATTAAATTGAGTAACCTGATGGACAGTGTCATAAAATTTATAGAAAAATTACAAAATCATGAATTACAAACCGAGCTTTGGCATACAAAATATTTTGTATATCAAGGTGTTTCGCGCTGGTAGTCGCTAACAATTAAAAAGGGATCAGACGATTGTGTAAGAGACAAACATCTTGAGACAAAGTCCCAAAAAGGGGTGTTTTATTGCCAATGACTTTATAATTGGAACTTAAACAGAAATGCCTCCAAGGGATGCAAGCACACGAGTACTGAAAAGAAATGTTTTAAGTCTAAACTAAGAAATTGAAATTGTTTGAGAGTGTTTGATTTGGGGTCCTTTGCTCTATGTCTTTTCTTCCTTTTATATTCCTTTAATGCTCTCTTTGTGATCAACCACTTAGAAACCGCTTAATTGTTTTATAACTGCCCACTTTCTTCATGGTGGTCAACTTATCGTGGAACTGCCGTCTCTAACTGCTGCTATTACTCTTTGTCGCTTAACCGTCCTCAATTGAACATTCTTGAATCGTGGAACGTGATAAAATTACCCAATAACTGCTTTGATAATTGCACTTTTGGATAACCATAACATCTCATATTTGCTAAGATTTTGGGCGATTCGAAAGTTTGGGCGAGAACAGGGTCATAACTCTAGGCGACTGCAAGGCACTTCATTCGCTCAGATCCTGGGCGTCTTGTAAGTTTGGGCGATGGTGTTACCGCGTTCGTGGGCTTCCACTGCATTCATTAATGTGGAAATTACAAGAGTCCAGGCATTTAAAGATCCCAATGCAAAAATCAGGTGGGAAGGTTTTTTATTTAGAGCTCAGATATTAATTTAATAATATTAATACTAAATATTTCATCCTCAATTCATCCCTAAAATTCAATTTCCCAACTAACCTAGCCGTGAAATTTATTTCATCCCCAATTCTTCTGGTTTCCTCCTCTCCTCACCCTCCCCAGTTAACCTACATCTCCGATGCTGCCGCCCACTGCTGGAGACCAAGCCCACAGCCGGAGACTACCGTGGAACTCAGATCGACGATCGTTCTTCGGCTCACTCAGGCCGAAGCGCAGCAACTGTGTCTTGCGACAATTGGAAATTTCACCTGCGTTCATAGCATTTCCCTAGGAGTGTGAGCGCCGATTCTTCTCTGCTCACTACGACGACAACTGAATTGTGAGCTTTTGCTTTTCGGCGCTGCTGTGAACGGCAGGTTCGCGACGGTGTGGTGAGCATGGTATGGATCGAGGTGGCGGTATGGTGTGGTGCAGGTGGTGGCTATAGTGGTCGGCATTTTTTGGTCGGTGTTTGTTAGTGGTGTGAGTGGCGACTCTCCGTTCAGCAGCCGCGATGTTTACAGTAGCTGTAGCAGTCTTGTGTTTTCTGCAGTGGCTTGTGGTATGTTCTTCAGTGGTAATGTGATGTTTGTAGTGTAGTATTGTTGGTATGTTGAAGGGGAACAGGGGGTGGTTGGTGGCCGACTTGGCTTGATGCGATGGCTGGTGGGTAGCGGTGGTAGTTTACATGTGGTTGTGGTGGTGGTATTGTTGGTGATGGTTGTGATAGTGTTATAGTGGGCGTGGGTAGTTTTTGCGACCAAATATTATGGATGAATGAGATCAGGATAGGGTTTGATGATGCGGTGGTGTGGTACAAGACTGCAAGTGGCGATTAGGTGGTGGTGATTTGTGACCAAGATTGGTGCTAGATTGGGATCGGTGGCAGAGGTGTTTGGAATCTGTGACCAACTATTTTAACGTCTGTGACCAACTATTTCACTGATTTTTGATCAAAAATTAGGTGTGTTAACTAAAAAATAATTTGTGACTTATGTGACGCATAGATAAAATGTGGCCTGTAATTTAAATGATCCGTAACCTCAAAATAATTTGTGACTTACAAAATTTTTTATTTGTGAACATGAAATAATCTGTGACCAATTGATTTGACGATATGTGACCAGTAAATAAATCCGTGACCAGTAAATATGAATCTGTGATCATTAAACGCTTAACTGTGATTTTATTATCTTTATTTAATAAATTTTTAATTAATTAAAAATATATCTGAATTTTGAATTTTCATACTGTTTAACTGATTTTTGAAATGGTGTAAATAATATACCTGTAATATGATTTTTTCCCTTCATTAATAACCCTATTTGGGTCTTTATCCTGAATTGCCCAGTTGGGCTTCATTCTTTAGGCTATTTGAATTGGACTGTACTTTTAGCATGTCAACACAAGGTGTCCCACACTCACATGGGGGTGGGGTCCATTCGAATAATTTTTTATTCGTTATCGAGCAGGCCCCACTCATATGTGAGCGTGGGACACCTTAATGTACAAAAAATTATGTAGAAATAGTAAAATATTCAAGCAAACCTCATTTCATGTGGGTGTGGATCACCTTGATGTATAAAAAATTATGTAGAATAATGTTATTCTTGCAAACTAATCTGGCAATTTTACTATTTTTAATTAAAAAATAATAATAAGTTACTGACAACATAGCTGTGTTTAAATAGTAAGAAAACCCCCCCCACGACAACATAAAGACGATAATGCACTATTTGGGCAAACATGCTACTCCCACGCTGGCATGGCATCGAACGGTCTAATCTTTCCAGCATAGTCAAGCGGTTAGTAAATGAAAGTTTGAATTAAAAAACTTTTTAAGAAAGAAAAGGGGTCCACCACATGGAAAAATAACAAAATTCTTGAAAGGGAATCATCACTCCTTAGGATAGATTTGAATGATTGAATCATATAATTAAAAAATCAAGTAATTATTGATGAATACAGTAAGAGAGCGATTAAGGACAAGTATAAAAAATAAAAATAATTTTGGTCCATAATTGTTTTCTAATTAAACTAGTCTTCTTCTTCTTTATTATTATTATTTATTATTATTATTATTATTATTATTTTTTTTTTTTATGTTTCAAAAATTATGTTATTTTGTCAACTCATTCAGAACGCATTTATACGTTAACTTAAAGTTAACGACTTGGGCACAACGGCTTAGATCATTATAAATTCAGCCTCGAGTCATTATAAATTCAATCCTAATATAATACTAACTATGAATGTAAATCGTAGGAAATACCAAAGATTGAACGAATAACAAGAAATACTCAGCTTTTAATTAAGCAATCCTCAAGCCATTAAGAATTCAATCCCTTCGAGAGGTCCGAGTCTGGTCCATTAGTAGAGAAAGTGTGTGGAACTACACTGTATCAATTATCCACTGCAACGATCAATTTCATTTTGAACCAACAATCAAATCAGTCGATCGACAGACCATTACGAAAAGAAAATAATAATAATAATAAATAAATAAAAGCTTTGTCCTATAAACTTTCTAGACCTCTATCTACAACTGATTGTCCATCCCCTAACGTAAAGAACCTAAGAACCTCGATCAAGACATCTTTTTTCAAGAGAAGTCCAAAACCAGATTATTTCAATCCATTTTCAATAAAATATCGAAGGACAATGAGCTTAATATTTGAAAATAGTTCTTTGAAGTTCAAAATTAGACAGGAATGACAGAGAAAAGTGGTTAAGAGAAAGAGGATGATACTTCAATACAAACAGCAAATTAAACCACAAGTATTAAGGAAGCAACTGAACCAAATCCCTTGCACTTTCCTTAACATGCAATTGTACAGAAAAATTACATCACCAACACAATAATCCCAATCCTCACTCAACCTTCACTGTACTGTTAACTATACTATACATGCTTCTACAAGAAGATTTCATACAACTATGACGAAAAATCGAGGGGGCAAAAAAAAAAAAAAATTTCATCCAGCTGCTCTTTATACAATTAACAAAACAGCTCTCTTGTTTCCAAGGAAGTATATTTCACAATGCACACTCAAAGCAGTGATTCCCATTTCTTTCTTTATTTTGAAGCCCTAAAAAGCTGGCTTCCAAGGGTCACAACTGGTGTCCCTTCTCCCATAATTGTTGTCAAGCTCATTTCTTTCTCAAGTATACGATCAAGTTCCATTACCACATAGCTCATTACAGGACGCTTCTCGCCTGAAGGGTATACACAATGCATTATTAATTGTAAAAATTCTTCCATGCCTTCTGTAGTAAAGCTATTTCCCAATCTCTGATCGATGATGGTTGATATACTGCCAGATTCTTGAAGATTTTGCATCTAAAATAAAAAAAGGGGAGAGAAACGTATTAGGTGCACCCTCATTTAAATAACGGAATGCATTAATAACTAGAGGTGTCGCCTGTTTTTCACACACACTCTTTACTAATCATGCAAGGATCACTCGACTTTAGTACCATCATACATGTAAACAAATGTCTGGCTATGTAAAGAAATGAAATAACATTGTTTGAGGAACAACTATATACCCATTCAACAAGGTTTTCATTGACGACAGAAGAAAGCAAGTCTCTTGCTTCCTGCCCACTTACTAACTCCAAAAGGAACACCCCAAAACTGTAGACATCGCTTTTTTCTGAAAATTGTCTGAACTCTCTTACCCTACATGGGTAAATGAAATTATAATTTATAACTCTGACATGAACTATATAATAAACAACAGAATAGCACATGTATTACTCTGGGGCGAGGAAAAACTCGTCGGCTGCTAACTGAGAAGATGGGCCTGCTTGCTCAAATCTTCCAAGAAAATTGCGTAACCCAGCATCTGCCACCTTAGCTATGAAATTTTCATCTACAAGAACGTTTGCTGTTTTGAAATCCTTGTGTATCAATCTAGGACTAAGGGAGTGAAGGTAAGCCAAACCTACATATAGTTGAGTACAGGTCAGTTGGAATCTCTAAAACCAGTTCTTTGAGATACTTTACCACTAAAGAAGCATATTCACCAATAAAAGTTTATGGAACTCTGGAAATGAATTTTTGCAGTCAGGATTGTAATATAGTATTAAATAAAATTTACTATTTAGCATAAGAGAAGATGAACTACGACCAGGAAAGCATAAATGCTCACTGATTTTGCAGAAGATCACCTTTAGCTGCCCCAAGAGCTATTGTAAGCCTGTGCTTGAATTCAAGCTTTTCTTGTGAAACCTGACCAGCACCTGAGAAATGAGCCCAATGAAGACTGATAAGTTGCATTAAATCAAGACAGTGAAACAACCAATCCCCATCCATTACCCCACCTCCATGAGAGAGAAAGAGAGGGGTAGATTCATTCAAAACAATGTCAGGAGAAAAGCAGCTAAAAAAGAAAGCAGTGGGTGCAAATTTTGCAATAGAGTTTTTGTCATAGTTCCATATACAAGAATCTGTTTTGCAAAAGGATCTAGCTTGCATGAAATTAACAAGGTGTACTTGAATGAATATGCTAAATTAAATAATACACATACATATGCACACAAACACCGGGGGGGGGGGGGGGGGGGGGGGGAGAGAGAGAGAGAGATTTACCATATAAGTGAATCGATACACTTCCATTGGGTATATACTCATAAACAAGAATCTGTACATCATGTTCTTGACAATAACCTAAAAGGGTGACCAGATTCCGGTGTTGAATAGACGAGAGATACCGTACCTGATAAGGAATAAAATCTAAAATTCAATCTAAAAAGTACTCAAAAAACAAGGAAATTTTGTCATGCTAAGTGCTAACATGGCCTGATTGTGAGGATTTTATTGTGTTAGATCTTCTTGGTAGATTTACTTATGAATTAACAAAAAGTTGAAAAAGTTCTAAATTTATTGAAAACATAGGCCAGTTTCTGTTGTTGTTATTGTGCATTCAACATAAAGGCACAATAGGCAATAAATAGGTTAAATAGGAAGGTATTCACATCTGAATTTTGGCACGGAATTCCGTCTGTTTGTTACAATAGGCTCAAACTATTTATGTTGAAACTCTTATAGTAGCAGTCTTCAGAAAAGGAAAAAGGTCAATGCAGAATCGAAGGAGGATAGAACAACGAAACGTCAAAATAAACTTAAAGAAGTTCGGGGGGTTTCTATTGAAGATGATGACTGAAATAGAATGAACAGAATTGCAAATCCATGACCGAAAATTAGAATCAGATTATCTCCGAATTATTCAGTGTTGAGTGGGGAGTCCATATTATTTTAATATTAAGTTAAAAACAAGTGCACATAACATTAGAATATGAATATTGGATATTCAGCAATCGCTAAGGGCCATAAAATCCTATAATGACCTAAAGATTCTCCACATAGATTTCCATGCATTGATACGGCGGTGTGTCTCTTGTATCCCTCCCACCACTTTTCCAACCAAAGTCAAAAGGGATAAGATCATGTCGGATTCTAACTTCTACATCCGTATGTTTTAGAATAATACTATCTATCTGGACTGCTAATTATCCAACAGTCTAGCAGTCTAGTGGTAATTATGTAGCATTAATTGATATGACATCTTAAATGCACGGATATGGGTTCCATTTAAAATGGCATATCAATTAATGCCACCAAAAATGCTGATCATTAGCAGTCCAGACAGATAGCCTTAATCGTTGTATTAATTCCAATCAATTTTGTACGAATATAGGGAAGTCACCTCATCAATGAACTCCTTACAAGGAGGAGCATGTCGCTTTTTTATAGCCACAAACATCCCATCATGAAGCAAGCCTTTGTACACCTCCCCAAATTTTCCATGACCTATCAAACTTTTATCGCCGAAATTTTTTGTTGCTAACGATAATTCTTCCAATTCAAAGCGCCTAGCACCTTGCAAAGCCATTTCAACACTTACGCTTCTTCCAACTGCTGTATAACATTTATCATCCAACATTTCCTCAAACTGAATGTGGTATTTCTCATTTAAAGTTACAAAAAACCTACGTTACCTTGCACAGATGGATCGGAAGAACCTGTCTCAGAGGTTCTTGTAACGCTCCGTCTATGGAAAAGGCAGTACCATAAAATTATAACCAGTATCCCTGCCAATGCCACGGCTCCTGCAGCACCTCCTAGAATTGCTGCAAGAGTCCTTGACATTTGGTCCGGGATCCAACTTCAGCTACAGTGGTGACCCCGAAAATATAGATTATCACGCATGAAACCTGAAATTTGCAAATAAGCATGAATGAAGATTAAAAGTAGATACTCTAATACGAAGAGAAAGGGGCCGAAGAGAAAGGGGCAGGCAGAATTTTCCGTGTATGGAATTGGTTTTAATTATTTAATGAAATGAAATTAACACAATACAATAACTGGAACAGATTATACAAATGTTTAATGTATGAGGCAAGGGCGAGTAAAAATTTCACGAAGCAGATAGCTCAGAATTAAAAGTTGAACATGATGCAGAGATCAAAATTTTGCACGAAATCTGCAGGTTCCCAGATAATGAAACTGTAGGGATATTCATTGGTCTATCTCACATGAATGTTGAATCAACAAGAATCATTTTTACATTCTCTCACCAGGAAGGTGACACAGTTGGGAGTCAGAGTCTCCAGATAAGAGCCAGGAAACTTCTTATTCAAGCTATTCTCTATGAGCCCTTCAAGTATGCTTCTTTTCCTTTATTGAAAACAGATTCCAAGCGACATTTGAAATTACAAACGGTACAGAAGCTCAGGATTTATAAACTAATATATGTGGACATATCAGAACTACAAACTAAAATTCAGGAACAATCTCAATGCCCGAACGCTCAATTGTATAAGCTAATTCAGGCTTCAAAACTAACAAAATGTAATGAAAAATGAAATCGAGCAACAGAAAACATAAACTAAAACTAGTGGACCTCGCGGCAAAACAGTAGAAAATGCGAAAAAAATCTGAATCTTTGCTGCAATAGAAGCCAGTTTGGCAAGATCCCTCAGAACCAGGGCTTGAATTTTGAAGGAGAGAAACTTTTTCCTTCTCAGATCAAGAAAATTACTCACATTACAATTTCCAGCATTCAAATTCCCAATTCAAGAAAAATGATTTGCTGCAATCAAAACCCAAAAGAAGTACAAACTGATTGATTGATGGTGCTGCTTCAACTAACCAATCTTCAAATTCAAAGGAGCTCAGTTCAATTTTTTTTTCAATTAAAATTGGGAATGGAAAATATCATAATGACAATCAACATCAGCATCATCGATGGATGAAAACAGAGATAATGCCGACAGAAAGGGACCCTGCGCCGACACACAATCAGGGGTTTATTACTCCACCAAACCCTCTATATTCAATTTACAAAATTCACAAAGAAAACCCAAAAAATTAACATTAATCAAATTGTTTCCACGAATTCAAAAAACCCCCACAAATAATTTCATATGAAAAAACAAAAATAAACATATTACTCATGTGGGCTGTTCTGAATTAAAGAGAAGAAAAAGAAAGAAGAAGAAAGAAGAAACGGGTTTACAAATTTGTATGTGTAATTTGTTGGGTGTGTAAAGCAGTATTGAGAATGGGGTTGTCCGGTTCTGCAACTTGGAAAGTTTTTACCTTTGGTGTGTCCCAGTCTTATTCTTGCTCCCTTACACCCCATTCTTCTAACTTTTGTCCTCCTCGTAATCTCCAACAGATTCACCTCACACTTCATGGCACAGTTCCTACAATTTTACAGTCAAATACAGGGACAAAATGATATGCAGTAACTACCATATGTGTATTGACTGCAGTGAAATTCTTTTACTTAAAAAGATTATGAAGTGTTATGAACAATAAACAAAACATAATACAGACTCATTTTGCATATAAAATAATAGGACCCGCTGGCTACCTATATATATATATATATATATATATATACACAGTGATGGAAAGACACAAATATATTGCTTGTACAAATATTCTGTCCTTTAATTAATTTAATAATTATTTATTAAGTTACGTTGGGTTAGTGGGAAGTCGGAGTAATGTCAACTCACAATCTCTCCATGTCAATCTGTAAAAGAAAAGAGTTTTATTTTTGATAGCCCTTTCAATTTCCCTGGTGACTTGTTTGTAGTAGTGGACATTTTAACCTAAATCGAACATTTTGAATCAAAATCAAGGTTCCAATCTGGTTAAAAAAAGAAAAAGAAAAAAATTGCCGAGTTTTATAACCAATAGTAGATTGAGTTCCAGATAGAGATTATGTTTCTTCAATAGAAGAACCTGTTTTAACGTAACAACACCGCCAACCACTAGAAAGGCAGTTCGAGATGCAGCTGCAGCAGCCCTTCATTCTCCCCCAAAATTGGAGTCGAATCCAAAAATCCTGAATTGAAATCCAGAATTGAGAACTGATTGTTCTTGTAGAGTTATCTATTCTTGTGTTAATTGTTCCAATGATCACTGAACTTACGTCTATATCTTTGATTGGTCATTTAAATTTAAAATGTCGAGTCTTGGTCATTGAATTTATGTTCATGTCTTCGATTGCTCACTGAAATTTAAAACATCGAATTTCAAGCACTGAACTTAGGTCAATACCTTCGATTGCTCACTAAATTTAGGCCCATATTTTAGATTGCTCACTGGAATTTAAAATGTTGAATTTTGACCACTAAACTTTAGAATATGTCGTACGTTACTCACTAGTAAAATCGTTGAACTTTGAAAAATCGGCTCAGTAAGCTCACTGCACTATAGGGTTGGAGAGAGAAGCGATGCCGAGTCACCAATCCCATTGAAATGGCCTAGACACTAGACACTAAATTTCATCCAGCCTGGTCAAGGGTTCCACTATCAAGGAGGCCCTTGCGAGCTTATACCAATTGACACGTGTCGTGCGTCAATAGTAGATGCTAGCTAAATTTCGAACCCACTACCAAGGCAACTTTGACTTGCTTGATTGAAAAATATTTTTAACAAAATTTCGACAGAGTTTTCCTTAAAATATGAACTAAACCACCTGAATAATAATCAATTTTTCCTCAAATTAATACCTATAATATGAATAGGGTACGACAGTCCCTCAAAATACAAACTATTCAAATAAAATACTGGTAAATCAACATTATTTACTTTACAACCAATAATCCTCAAATACGCTAAAAATATCAAATATCTAATGAGCCCATAATTAACTTTTCTGATTTAAGCTACATGTATTCCAAAAAAACACATAATGTATAATCTGATAAAGGATATCATACAACCTATAACGCATAGCTCAATTTGATGGTTCGACAGGCTCCAAAGCTGCTCAATTCGGCTACTATCAGTCTGATAAAAAAAAAAGGTGAAAACAATTTATGGTCGAACCCTGTGGAGAATGAAGAGGGGCCAAGGCTCTTCCTCTCAATAGTGCTTTCACTTCATGAGTGTATTCTTCTGTCAGCAGAGATCTTGTTCCAGTGTTTGATCTCTTCCATCTCTGCCTCGCTCGTTGTCATCGGAACGAAAAAAGAAGGGGGAATAGGGTGAGGATTTTATATCCTAATCCTTCCTCCTAAATTACATTGATTTATCCTAAAGATTTCATTTCAATTAGAATTTAACCCTATAGGTTGACGCCACAAATTTCACCCCCCAAAAACCATATTTTGATTGCGCTTAAAAACTCTTATTCAGGCACTGCACATGGAGCCACAATTGAAATTGAATGCTATTTATTCTAGATATTGAATTTTATTTGGTGACATAATTACAGTGGTTTAAGAAAGTGTTGAAATGTATATTTGTTGACATATTTTATTTCTTTTATTTTTGCTAAATATTGAAAAGATAATTTTTATTGTATGCTCACATTTTTTTGAAAAAATAGGATAGAATCGAAATGAAATTGGAACCGTTCGGATTCATTTCTAGTAACTATATGAACACAAATGTTCCATTTGTGTAATACTCAAAATCTACTGGAAAGTTCCACGTATTGAGATATCCAGAACAACCCAATTGCCGCACAAGCTTACTTGTTCATACGAAGTATTTTTCTTAAACTTATTAGCCTCCGTTTGGATACAAATTTATAAATATTTTATAAATTCAATCAAAGACGCATTTAGTAAGACCCATTATTATTCCTTGTCCACTGTATAAATCATTTATGAATATATCATATGGACGCTTAACAATCATGAAGTGAAGTACCGCAATGTTTCTTGTTAAATTTTCAATGTGTTCCAATTGAATTGTTTTCAATCTTCGTTTATTGATGGAAATTGTAGTTATTATTGTTTTATTTCTTGCAAGGGGAATAAAGTAATCCAAGAGAATGTATCTTTCTCTTTAGATTTTAGTGTTATATAATCAATTGATTGTATTCCTCATTTTTATATCTCTTGTTACCTGACTAAATGAAATTTTGATTCTGCTTTAAAAAAATTATATTTGAAATAGAATATCAAAATATTTGCAATAAATTTAAAAAGTAGGGATGACAAAATTCTCCGCTCCACATCGTCCGACCTCAAATAGTAAGGATGGACATTAGAGTGGGATTCGAACAAAACCAATCGATCCACATTGGATCAACATGTTTAACTCAATTTTTCCAATTAATCGGCTAGTGCCATTGACTTTTCCTAAAACGATTTTCAACTGATTTTGTGTTGGATTCGGCTCTATAAAATCAAAACGATCCAACTCAAATCATGAAAGGTATTTATAATAATATTACAAAGAAATTAAATAGATTAGTGAAAACAAAAAAATTCAAAATGTCCAAATCCCAATAGAACAATATCGGTCTCTCTCTTCTCATCTCTACTACTAGTCTCGCATAGATATTGTGAAAATGCAACCATTGTCAAATAAGGTTATGCTGTTCTTCTATACAGAAATACCTATACAGTCTATGAATTCTTTGGTTATTTTAAGTTTAGATTCTTGAGATTATTTTAAGGGGAAGTTTACATCGTATGTGGTTTGCATATCAATTTTGAATTCATTTTCAGTTTAATATTTTGCGAGTCTATTTTATGATTGCTAAAAGCATTTTGTTTGATATTTTTAAAAATTGAAAAACCATTTCTTAATATAGAAAATTGAAAAATACGTTTGGTTTGATATTTTTGCAAATTATTTTATGATATTATTCAATGAACTTGATTATTTAGGAAAATAGAAAATCCTAATACAACAAGTAATATATACATTTTAAAGTTGATGAATCTTACAATATTTTTTCATTTCAAAAATAATGTACAAATAAAAATAAAATTGCTTGGCAAACAAAAAACAATAATTACATGAATAGAGAATTACAAAATATTATTTTCATTTCAAAAATAAGATACAAATAAAAATAAAATTACTTGGCAAACAAAACGAAAAAAAATATTAATTGCGTGAACAGAGAATTACAGAATGTTTGTGAATGATAAGATTGCGGCAAATAGTTAAATAGCAAGTGGACTAAGATTATCAACTTAAATATTGATAGCAAAAATAAACATGATTGGAAAATTTAAAAAATTAAAAATAAAAATTAGGGAATCATGTATTAGTGAGAGTACTTTAACATTCCAATGCAACATTCAATAATGTTATGGTACGATGAGTATCTATTTCGAAAGGGGCAAAAAAATTCGAACATATTTGGATAATAACAATGGAAAATTGCAACAGCAGTATCTAACCTTTCACTTTTTTGTGGACTTTGCCCTAATTTTCACTTTGTACCATCCACAATCCAACATCTTTCAAAATATGCACATGAGGTTCAAGTGGATGGAATTTGACCGTTAGTTGACCAATAAAATTGAATTTTGACCAATTTTAAATGGGTAAAAGAGTAACTTTGCTATTTAAAAATTAAAATAAATAATTAAAACAAAATAAATATAAAAGGGGAAAAAAATTCATTTACTTCTTCATCCCACCCCACTGTACCTCTGTGATGGTTGTTCAAAACTATGCAACCGCATGGCTAAAAGCCACGCGGTCGCATGGCAACCAACCGAGGCCAAATGGCCTCAATTTTAACTAACCATGCGATCGCATGGATTTACACCATGTGGTCACATGGTATAAGTTCAGTGATCGTTGGAGTTGGTTTGGGTAGTTTTTTGGCAGCCTTTCACTTAATTTTGGCACCACTTCGTGAAGCTATGTTGCATGGCTATAATTAGGTGATTTTTTTATCATCAAAAAAGAATGAAAAAACACTTATAAATTACATGTTTATAAGATCAAACAAGAGAGAAGAAAGAAAAAATAAACCATCTTCTTCCATATTCGTTTTCTACTGTGTTGAGTTCTTAGAGAATCAAACAAGTGCTTAGTGTTTGAATCTCTACAAGGCTTGATCAATCCTTCAAACATTTTGCCGAATGACCTTTTAAGCACCATAATCTTTTCTAGTGGAGGCAAAATTCGTTTGAGGACAACGATCTCATATCGTGTTTGAGCTTTTCCACATTTGTTTTATATTCTTTATCTTCTAAATTTCTTTCAATCTACATTTGTAATTCGTTCTCTAACACCTTGGTGGAGAAATTATTTCTAACAATCTCAAACAAATTTTCAAGTTACTATGGAGAACGAAACTACAATGGCAACCATAAAAC